TGACATTCATACTTTCTTTAAAAAAAATAAATTAAAAGTGTAGAACAGCTTTGTCAGGTCTGAAGTCTGAATATGCCTTAATGTACCAACTTTTATAGTCATACACTCAGAATAGCAAGTTTTTAGGTTAAAGCATTCATGAGAAGCACATGACCATGGTCACACACAAAATCCATGATGGGAGCCAAACCATGTGACTGATATTCTCATAATAAACTTTAGCAATACAAGCTACCAGTATATACAAAATATCAAGTTGAATGGTTAAAGCATTCATGAGAAGCACATGACCATGGTCACACACAAAATCCATGATGGGAGCCAAACCATGTGACTGATATTCTCATAATAAACTTTAGCAATACAAGCTACCAGTATATACAAAATATCAAGTTGAATGGTTGAAGCATTCATGAGAAAAAATTGCCTAAACTTTTGGTCATTTCAAATGACAAACTTAAATTATTTTTTTCCTCTCCGAAGAAGTTCAGTTGAGAGATGAAACATAGCAAATTTCGAAGAAGGATAAATGAGGCATCAATAAAATACTCCTTCCTGTTTAGAAGAAATACAACATGGCGGCCAAATTACATGGCCAACCACCCAAAAAATGTAATGTCATTTACACATAAAAAAACAGTTCAGAGCTTCTGGAGATTTTTAGGCATGTTTTGATGATTTTCGGGGGAAATGTCAAGGCGAAAAAAGTCACATGACCGATAAACCCTTCCAGTTAAACATTCATTCAAGATGGCTACCAAACCAATTGAACAATCAAAATTCAGATAAACTAAAGTCATATTAGAGTTTATCATTATAGAAAATTTCAGACCATCCCATTCAGCAGTTTTCTCAATACGGCTTGATGAAAAAAAACAGCGGAGGAAGAAAGAGAAAGAAAAACATAAACAAAAGGGTTCAACAGTCCAGGTTGCATGTATGTAAATAGGTCTCTATGTGGTAGTTGAGCGCGGTAACTGAGCGTCTCAGTTTTCATGAAGATACGAGTTGAGCGTACGCTCACTTTCAAAAGTAAGCGTGGTGCCAAACAATGGAAAGCTTGAGTGCGCTAACTTTTAAAAGTAAGTGTGGGGACAAATCATGGAATACTGGTGATGTAATGAAAGCTATGCTCAGTTTAACATGAAGTTGATACAAGTTCGTTTCAGAGGTCTAACTTACGTTGAAGAATCCAATCTGGATTCACATGAGCAGGACGTTTGTTAAAACTGACGCAACCATATTTAATTAAATATTCACGCAGTTTGAACCCTATGACCTTGTAAGGTGGACGCGTCTGATAATGAGGGACTACGCTCACTTTTACAAGTAATAGTAGGCATGGGACCAACAATGGAATGAGAAGTGCGCGTGTCTGATTTCAAGTAACCATAATTCGCCAGTGTATACATAAAGTTTTTGAGAGTACTATTTTGATTTACACAAGATAAATGCTGGGATCGGCCACAATTATATTTAATAGTAATAAAGATGTCTTGAGTGTTTTCATTTGTCGGCGTCTGTAAACAACGCTCAGTGACAAGGAGTTAATGATGCACACACTTGCATGAGCCAAACAATGGAAAGCTTGAGTGCGCTCACTTTTAAAAGTAGACGTGGGGACAAACCATGGAATGCTGGTAATGTAATGAAAGTTACGCTCAATTTAACATGAAGTTGATGCAAGTTCACATATTCACAGGAGAGGGAGGTTAAAACAAAGCAACAATGTTTAATTAAGTATTCACGCAGTTTGACCCCAATGACCTTGTAAAAAGGACGCATCAAAAAGTAGTCTTCCTCTATTCATTGTTAAGAGCGTCTCAGCTTTCTGAAAATGCGAGTTGAGGGTACGCTCACTTTCAAAATTGGGCATGGAGCCAAACAATGGAATGCTTGAGATACTTGTAATTTGAAGTCTTGCGGCCCAATTAACACCTCGACCGAGGTGTGACCTTATTGTTTATTGTGTAATCGGCGACTGAATGAATGGAGATGTCCATTTCTGTCACTTGTAGACAACTAACCAGTAGAGTCCCAACAAGTGTGGGTGGTATGAGAAGCATTATATCAATAAATCTGTTTCCATGTCAGTTAGATAAATACGGGCAAATATCAGCGTTCAAGTGACTGTGCGTAGCTCCGATGTTTTGCCGCTCGTCAAAGAAACGGCCTATTTGTTGTTATCACAGTGAGGGACGGCTGTGTTTTAAATTCAGACAAAGATCATCACGGTAATAGACAAAATGCCAGTGCCTGGTGATTGTTTTTTTTTATGTGAAGTTACAGCGGGTAGAGTTATTTTAATTCCAGCTGAGGTCATGAACCCAGGATTATGTTTGGTGATTGACACTGTGACCCGATGTCCAACATTGAAAGCCAACTACTACCACCACCATCCCCACCCCAGACCCTGTTGAAGGAAATGAACCGTTTCACAGTATTTCAACAAATAGATTGATAACTGCTGTCATGCGGCAGTTTTTGGAAGTGTTAATAAATATTGTTTCGTCACATTGCTACATTTATTTTGTTATTGCACGTCATATTTAATTAAGGTAAGTATATTTGACTGATGAAGATGGAAATACATGTTATCAAAAGTAAAATCGAGAAAGGGTGCAATTATGCGAAGTACTGTATGCATGGCTTCCAACTCGATGTCACAGAAAGAGAGCGTATGCTCACTTGTAAAAGTAGGCGTGGGAAAAACAATGGAATTACACAGAATTACATGCATGACTCATTACAAGAAACCAGAATTATTTTACGCACACTTTAGTCGCTGTTGTATGCATAGAGTTTTTAAATGCCGGGTCGATCACCGAAAACAATATAGTAATTTAATAGATGCAACGGGAAGCAACGCTGATGTTAGTTTTGTCCTGATTTTTTTCATTTGTTGGCATCTATAACGATGCTCAATGATTATACAATTGTTTTCAAACGTATTTTCAACGTTACAGAGAAGCAACGCAAAGTAAAGTAACAGAAAAGCAGCATATGTGTATATGGCCACCAATGTAGTCTCGATCAAATGTGTATTTTACATGTAAATTTATATTTTCATGAGGGTCAGCCAATCGAAGCCAAATGATTCATAACTGTACGATCACGGAATGATTCACACACAATGCATAAATGTCGCAACGTGCAACTTTGCACTACTATTGCTGTCGTGTAAATCTATGAGGGTTGAGCTGAACATATGAGCAAAATGGGAATGTACATTTCATTAATAAAACGTCATTCTTGTATGTGTGCACACTTTCACTTAATGCAAGTGTGCGCAACAACTTGTTGTCACTGAGGGTTGTTTACAGATGTCGACAAATGAAAACAATCAAGAGAAAACAAACGTCAGAGTTGCATCTTTATAAATTATTACTATTAAATATAATTGTGGCCGATCCCGGCATTTATCTTGTGTAAATCAAAATAGTATTTTCAAAAACTTCATGTATGCACTGGCGACTTATGGAAATCAGACACGCGCACTTCTCATTCCATTGTTGGTCCCATGCATACTATTACACGTAAAAGTGAGCGTAGTCCCTCATTACCAGACGCGTCCATCTTACAAGGTCATAGGGTTCAAACTGCGTGAATATTTAATTAAATATGGTTGCGTCAGTTTTAACGTCCTGCTCATGTGAATCCAGATTAGATTCTTTAACAGAAGTTCGACCTCTGAAACGAACTTGTATCAACTTCATGTTAACTGAGCGTAGCTTTCATTACATCACCAGTATTCCATGGTTTGGACCCACACTTACTTTTAAAAGTGAGCGCACTCAAGCTTTCCATTGTTTGGCTCAACTCGTATCTTCGTGAAAACTGAGACGCTCAGTTACCACGCTCAACTACCACCTAGAAACCTATTTACATACTCTAGGCTGATAAACAGGAAATGTGAGCTGAAATTAGACAGCTGAAAAGATAAACAGATTCTCACCTGGCCATTGGCTAAAATATCCCTGATGTCGGGTTCATGCTTTGTTCTGTGAAATGAACAAATACAAAGTGAGATAATATGTGTCTGTACTGGCATTTTGGTCAGTTATGACTACCGGTAACTGGTCTGATTGATAAAAAGTGTAAGAACACATACATAAAATAATAAGGTTAGCATGAGAAAACTGCAAAGTACATAGTCAGGCAGTACAGGATATCATCCAATTCTATGATGCCTTCATACATACAGATACTTGACAGTATTGTCGCAATAACCTTGTGGTACAAATATGACATTAAAATAAAACTAAGACCACACCATACTGACTTACAGTGACACAGGAAACACCAATACAATCTGCTCAAGGAATTCATGCACGCAAATAGGAATTAGCGTACTGACTTGAAGACATAGCGATATGAATTACATATGATCATGTTTCTGTACTTTCTTAATCTCACTATGTGAAAATAAAAGCACCCTGCTTTCACTGTAAATGATACACCCATACTCTGTATGACTACAGACTCAAGACAGTAAAATCAGACTATACTGTGCACTAATTAACTATACTACTGTAAACAACCGATGTATGATCAAATGTACTGAATTTCTGGGACAAGTTATTCATTCTCACACCTTGAAATGATTGATGCACACATGGTTAAGTCCAAATGCTTATAGACTCACAGCACACATGATTATAAATGTACTTACACTGCCGGCACCGCAGGCACCACTGCTGGAACAACAGGTTGTGGAGGAGAACTCTGTGCCACTCTAGTATTCACCTAGCAGATACAAAGAAAATGAATGTATGAACTTATGTGTGATTACAAGTATGAAACAGTTTGAATGTGATCAGTCTGGGCATGTTTGAGATATACCGGTATATGTACACACGGTTTAATCATGCTTTGAGTTCCAAATATTGTTTAAAAGTTCATATGTACCTTCAACCCATGAATATTTTTCTTTATTGGAGGTTTTGAGACTTTGGGATAAATATTGAGAGGAGGCGGCATGTCACTTTCTTCACAGTCAGCTGTCAGATCAAAATACTGAAAAATAAAAAACAAATTTATGTAGACTTATAAAATTTCATAACCCATCAATAAATAAAGGTTATTACCGAAGATAATGTTTCTATGTGAATATGAAAATAAAATCACAGCCTACACATGAAAGCATGGCTATCATTTCTTCATCACTTCTAACAGTAATTCGATCACCATCTTCGTCTTCATCTAAAAAAATAAATACCAAATTAATACTGAGAATTGGCAGTTGCATCTAGGGAGAGCATATCACAACTAACATCTAGTTTAATGTCTGGAAAGTAGCGACCTGGTAGTAACTGTGCAAAATATATGTACTTAAAGTTACATTCTGAGTTCATTCGTAGAGCTTTATTGAGGCTTGCGACTACATTGTGAAATACTTGATCTGAATTTCTGTGCTTTGTAGAAAACAAAAATTTCCAGAATTTCATTTTGTTTATCAAATACTCTAAATAAATCTGTATCCACTTATGTCCTTGATGATGACCATCACGCAAACAATCATACAAATTAAATGCAAATTTAGTCAAAATCATGTCCCAAACTATGCGCACAACTTGCTCAATGAATTGACAAGTTACACAACAAACTTTTATCATCACATAGGTTAAAAATAACAAGATCAAAGCTAACATTTAGCTTGAGATTTTGAATGACAAAGATAATGAATCTGATTAAATTATTTTTTTTTTATTTCCAGATTTTATTTATTGTAATTTTGTTCATTTAGAATTATTTGTTTGTGTTACTTGCCATTATTAATTATTTTAACTTAAAGGTGACTTATATCAAAAAAACTTAAAAGTCGAAACAATAATCTAATAGCTCAATCACTGACCTCTGACCTGATTGAGTTCACATCAAAGCACATAGCTATATCTGTCATATAGGGTATATGTTAACAAAGCATGTAAGTAGGGGAAGGAGATGTATGATAACTTACAATCGAAAGCTGTGACTGTAGTGTCAGGAAACACCTGTGACATCACCTCCTGAAAATGTAAATAACATGAGAAACATTAAATCTGTAAATCAGTGATTTTTGATGATTTCATAGAAAATGCAGACACACTGGCTCACAACGATAAGTTTTAAAATCATACAAACACCAACAAAAGTTTTCACAAATTTATCCTTCTTTAAACCTGTCTTCTTTCAAAGCCTTTTAAGATAGATTGCTACCCAAAAGTCATTTACTTTTATTGAGATGAAAACATTGTTGGTATTACCAGAGGTACATTACTTGGGGTTTGAAACTACGGTGACATGATACCAAGATCCTGTTTCAATCTCGCTCTCACATAAGCATTCCAACTCCAACAAGAAAAATGCGGATGCGCATGCCCGAGTAACTAGGATACTGGGATGTCCAGGTGGATCAAAATAGCTGCTCACGATATGACGGATTACAATAACTATATTTTCTGTACATTTTCGATGTATTACATTTTTTCACTATGAATTTGGTAATACAATAACATGTTTTATTGTTTTATTAAAAACCGCCTATGTCATGTCAAAAGGTCGTAGCATGATCAGTCTCGCTATCTACAAGATGAGACTTGAATGGGATCTTGACATGATGTCACCATACAGTACAGGGTTCTCCCCAGGGCTTTTTAGCGCCGAGGTCCGCGGCGCTATACCTGTGAATCTCGGCGCTTCACTTGGGACCTCGGCGCTATGTGTTCCCACCTCGGCGCTTGATTTCATATTTGACATGCCAATATCAGATGTGAAAAAGCTTTGTTCGCCACGCCGGTCGGCCCCGACCGTCACTCAAAATTAGTGACCACCACGGAAATGCTTCCGACGAGGACTATTGTCTGATTGTTGGTATAATTAAGTACCGACCGACACGCATCCTGCCAGTCGTGGATTATAATTTATAAACAATAGACCTAGTCGCACGATACGTAGCGGCTAGTCAAATTTGTGGAATTAGCACCTCTTTGTTTGTAAGTAAATACTTTCTGCGATAGACACAGTCTTTAGATTTA